AAAAAAAAAAAAAAACCAAACCCTACAAAACAAACATTGAAGGTTGACATTTTATGTGGAAGAACATTTGAATGCAGAATTTACCTGAAGGTGTAGATAGATTTTTTTTTAAAAACATCAAACCTGATGTCAAGAGGTGGGCAAGCAGAAATGGAAAGAAATTGTCTTCTTCAGTAATTAAGCTACTCTTCCTCTTTTCCTTCTTGTTTAAATCTAGTAGGTATTTTTTTTTTTTTTTTTGTTGTTGTTGTTGTTATTTTTCTTTAAAAATTTAGGTAAGATTTATCTTGAATCTTAATTGCCTTAATTTTAAGGACATCAAAGCTCTCGAGGCAAACGGTCAACGTCTTGTTAAACTATCAAGGAAGAATTGAAATCTTGTGCCAGCTTTAACTGGTACAGAAGTTTAAGACTATGAGTTTTTAGGGTGAAAAAAAACTGTTTAAGAGAAAATGTTTTTCTTCATTTGAAGAAAATTTGTTGATAAAAGAAACCATGGCAACTGCAAGAATTGGGAAAATGCTGGGACTTTTCATGAACTTTGTCTTAACTGTTCACACGAGTCATTCTAGAAGGCTAAAACATTTTACGGTAAAGTTATTAATGTTGGTTTAAAAACAACTGCATTAGAAATAATGCGTGTTTGGGGGACAGAATGCAGATTTTTTTTATTTACAAAGCGTGATCACTAGCAAAAGCATTAGTGCTTTTTATCTGCAGTCTTTTTTATGAGCTTTACAAAGTTTTTAGTCAGCTTTGCTTGTCACATTGCAAAACTTAGCTTAAGAGCATTAAAGAAAACTTAAGTAGATAGGAGCTTATGGTCTAAAAGTGCAAAAAAAAAAACCCACAAAAAAAAAAAAAAGCAATAGATAGAGAAATTGTTGACAATTTCTGTAGTCTTTCCTAGTTGTGATTAAATTCAGCCTATGGATGGCCTATTTTATACCAAAGATGAAGTGACACCCTGTCGCAGTCCAGAAGATAGAGGTTGTTTTTCTTTTCTTTTCTTTTTTTAAAAAAAAAAAAAAAATTATTTGACCTACATGGCCGGACCAGTTCTTACTTTGTTGTTTGTTTAAACTATCTTCCACTGGTATTTTACATAATGCAAAAAAAAACTTTTTTTTTTTTTGAATGTATATTTGTTGATAATAGAAGCTTGCACCAATGATGTTCAGCGGTCCCAGATGAAGAGTTAGGGATACCACCCGATACGGCTAAATGGCTTTAAACTCCATGGGCTCTTGAATAGTGAAGCCTGTACTGATGGCCACCAATAAGCCAAGACATTTGTTTAATAGGTTGAATTTTCTTTATGTGAATTTGGAACTAAAGATAGTTCCTGAACCTGGTCTGAAATGTCACCTGTCAAAAAGCTTAGTGATATTCTGTGCAATGGTGAGTGGTCTCCCGAAAAAGGTCTCATTGTATTTGGAACGATAGTCTTCCTTTAAATTCCAACACCTCTGGCTTTTGTCTCCTCACCTCAATCTTTGTCATCATCTAGCATGAATAGTCACTTTGATTCTGCTATTGGGGGAGCGGGTGTCTTCTTTTGGCCCCTTTTCATTATATTTCCATATGCTGGTATTGTCCGAAAGAAAGACAAAATAGACCTTTTTTATTTCAAGTCAACTCTCTGAAGCAAGTAGGACCAATAAGATTGAGTATTATTTTAGTGGAATTTAGATAAGCTCTTAAAATGCTAGTTGACAATCAAGAAATTATCTGATTTATATCAATAAGAACCAAAAGAATTAGGTTTATCAATCATTAAAGCCAAAGGAGATATATTTGCATTTAGAATGATGCAAAATTTTGTCTAAAGCGGATTCAATTGACTTCCCTGGAAGACATCTCTGCATATTTGATTCATGACATCCATGTTCAGTCTGTACAGTTTTACCGGAAATTAAGGATAATGTAATTTTGTTAGCTGAATCATTCAGTAGAGTTGCTTTCTGAATGAATCATTAAAATCAAATGCATGAAACTCTTCACAAAATAAATAAGTCACAGAAACCTGTCTTAATCCAGAAAGAGGAAAGTGTATTAAGTGCATTGTAAAAGATAACAGGGTAGACTTCTAAAAACTAACAAATTCAAAAGGTAAATCATGTACCCATGATTTGAATATGAGTCAACATGAGTAATGGGGTTGACTTATATGAAATTATCAATATTCCATTATTGATGATCTATGAAACAATGGCCTAGCCTTGAAATAGAACCTGGTTCTCTTATTTGCAACCCCACGAAATGGAAGCTCATGTCTAGAGAATTAATCCATACCTTTGCAGTCCAATTAGAAATGAAAATGTATCCAGGAAAATGTAACATGTGCTACAGAGAAATTCCAACTGGTCACACCCATCCTTATGGTTTTCCATGCTTTAGAGAGAATTCTAGATTTATACTTTCTTCTCTTCCATCCTTCACCTCCTCATGTATTCTAAGGGTGGCATTTAACTTTTATCTTTGAAAAGTGGGCCCCCAAGTTAGAGGGGGTACAAGGAAGCACGTATGGAAACCTTATATTCTGTTCCTCTTTTCACTCTCTGAACTCTTTGTATAAATAAGGATTATCCTGTGCATAATTCATTTGAATATGAAACCAACACGTTTTCGTTTGTTTCTGTTAAAAAAAAATTATTAATGTGATACAAAGAAAAGTCTCATTTACACAATCACCAATGAGGCTAAGAGGTAGCTACCATGTGGCTGATGAATGTGCCTAGGTAACTTCCTATTTCTGATCAAAATTGCTGCTTTATTTATACATTCAGAAACCTTTTTTTCAACTATGGAATTTCAATAATCTCTATTTTGTTAAGCCACTTCAGGCAAAAGGAAATTACTCTACCTGTCATTTTATGTGTTCATGTACGTTTTGTGTTTGGATTGTTTATATCATGCCTTTCTGTAAAATATCTTATTTCAAACAAAAAACAAAAAAACAAAAAAACAAAAAAAAAAAAAGGAAAAATGGCACATGTTCAAAATTGCTCCCCTTTATCTGTCATAAGAGTCAAGTCTGGGGGAATAAACAAAACAAAACATCGACAGGTGAGCAACATTATATTATATGAAAAATAAAGCAAACCAAAATATGCGTTCAGTATATGCAGACACCAGAATCCTAACTTGATCGACAATATATATTATGGTGATTTGAATCCTATTTAGGAGTATAATCACCTGTAAAAAGTTTTTTTTTTTCCATGTATTCTGGTTCACCAAATTTTCAAACATTTATTCAGATGTTTCAATTTCTCCTTTTGCCTTTAACTGCCAAGACTTAGTCTAAACATCAGGAAACAAACTGAAGCCACAGTCCAAATGGGATAGACACTATCTCATCCAAACTCTAGTTACATGGTCAGTGGGAGAATGGATTCTCTTTTAATAATGGTAAGGGGTTGTCGAAGGAGGCGAAGCATGCATAGTTACTGGGAACTCCCCAGTGCGCGGCCATTTCTTCTAAAGAAAACAAGATGAACCCTAATCGAACTAAGGAGAAATGCTAGCAAGTGCTGGTGAGAGTTTGTCCTTAAATACTGCATGTCGTAAAAACTTCAGGTGACATAATCTTCTAAAAGCGTCCTCTACCTGACTCCAGCTTGGCAAGGGCTAGCTTGTTGCTTCAGTAGATTTTACCTGTTCAGAATGTTGTCTCTGTTTTCACTGTGATCAGTTCTTGTCATGACCTTAGCAGATGTGTCACATGTGACAGCATATGAGACTCACTCCTACCCCTTTCTAATGAAAAGCTACATAATAATATTAAAAGCATGGACACTTGAAAGTACGAAATGGAACGCTGAGAGCAAAAAAAGGTTGGGTACTGGAGGAAGTTCACACAACTTTACTATAGCTACACAACGCACCGTTTACCCTCTGCCAAACTGCTTTGAAATCACTTTCCATCATGCATGATCCCCCAAAAAGTATTTGATTGTTTCCCACTCTATTTGAATAATCGGGGTATCTAGTATATAGCTATGTATCTTTTACAATGGTCTAATATAAAAATTTCCGTTAACGGAAAGTGGAACTCTATTTAAATAGGACCCTTGCAGTCTTTTTCATGATTGAGGTGTTTCCATAGGCTGGCTCCACAGATTATGATATTAATAAGAGGGTAAAAGTACATTTGGCAACTTAGTCTCATTCTTAATTTGAGTGCATGAGCCACTGCACAGCCAATGAGCTGATACATAGAGAGAAATCCTTAAGTGAGTTTCAGTGTTAAATGTTTTTGATATAATTTAAAATCGGTCAAAGGGATGATATTTATGTGTGTGTATAACAACATTCAGCACATTTGAGGAATCACACATCATAATAAAAGTTTATTTTAAACATGCCATGGAAACTTGATCTGTATTATCCTGTCCACAGTAGAGAGTGAAGGATGAGATTTTGTTCTTCATATTACTGTAGCTGGCAGGCTTCAGAGTTTTGAGTTCACTGGGACTGACAGCCTCTCACTCCAATGTGAGGGACTGACAGAATTTAAACAGGCTCATTGATTCAATATACTACACCCTTCCAGTAACAGAGTGATAATGGGATTTCATTAATGAGTCAGTATGTTTTACAAGTGACATCCACTGTGGCCTCAGAAGGCAGTTGGGTCTGGCTCAAGTTCAAAATTTCTTACCAAACATGCTTAAATATTTAAAGTGGTCCCTTAATCCAAGTGCTGTTGGTTATGGTTGCCCTTTGTGGATTACACAAAGTTCAGGAAAGTATAAAAGATAAATACTAAATACTGAGTGACCCCAAAGACATGTGATGATGTGGG